TCAAATTCCTAAAAGGCTGCTGTTCTATGTGAAACTATTGAATTCAGGCTTTACAATAGGGTAGGCAATCATTGGAATCTTCTGTGCTAAATTTTAGGCTCTTTTTTGTACCCAGATGTTGATGATATTCTCAAAGAATATTTAATTGCATGGCAGTTTCATTTCTCCTATTCTTCTTCTTTCTTGTCATGTCTTAATTTCCAATGGCCTGTACTAAACTCCTTCCCAATAATCTCAAAAGTTCAAACACTAAAATATACTTTCCCATCAAATCCATTGCAAAACCAGACCATCCTTCAGCCCATGGACCACAGTCCTCCCCACTTCTTCTCCGATCTCCATCAATCTGTCCATAATCCATTTTAGGATATAAATTGAGGTACACATTAATATAAGGAGAACAAGAATAGCACAATAAGCAAAAAGAATATGAAAATTTCCCTATTTTATTTAAAATAGGACCTTCTGAATAAGACTAATCCATTTCATAATGAGTTGATAGTGAACTACTCAAAGGATAACTGAGCCATCCCTCAGTCACTTGCTAGTAAGAAAAGTCATACTGTCCACCAGACAGTCCATGGAGAACTCAATAGCTCTTCTCCATCAATTAATCCATAATCCATACTAGGCTACGATTCAATTAAGTAACCTATTTACATACAAACCAAGTAACATATGTTTGAGAAGTGGCCCTAAAGCATTATGTCATTTAGCAATAGTGTAGTCTTAGGATAAAGAAGAAATACAACTTTCCAGGTATGGCAGCACTTCAAACATACAGAACTCAGAGAGAATAAGCATTTGATCAAACAATGGTAGCCGACTTTGAACTGCAATTCAACAGGCACAAAGTCTCTTAACAAGTGGTAATACATGCAATGCTCAAAACATCAATCATAAGCTATAATGCTGACGAAAAAAGTGTGCCTCAGTTAGAGATGAAGGGACTCATAATATTGCATCGCTAAACAAAGATTACAAGACAATGTTACAATAAAAACAAAAGCCAATTCAAACTCATTCAAGATGAAACCGCACATCTTTTAAGCAATAAGAAATCCACAAGCGTCAAGACCTTACAAATGATATAAACTCACTAAACATAATTCAGAAAAAAAAAACAAAAACATAAAGAGGGGGGATAATGAAAACAATTCTAAGGATAATAAATAAACTAAAAGTAAAATTGATTTTCCACATAGTATAAATAATCCTACACAAAGATACCTGAGCTCAACTATACACATCCATTACCTGCACAAGCAAAACATTAAAATCACTTGGAAACCAAAAGGATTTCTGGCTTCTTAGCCTTGCTAGGAGTGTTAGCGTTCGAAGAAGTGTTAGCTGCAGCCGTAGCAGCTGCCTTTGCAGCTGCTCTTGCACTCTTATCAAGCCTAATCAGACTCTGCAACGCCAAGATCGCCTGTGGCGCCAAATCATGAGACGCCCTCGCGTATAAACACCTAATCGCAACCGAGGCAGCGTCCTTTACATCTTGGGAATTCGAAGGACCAAACAAACAATGCCCTAGAATTGTCACCACCGGCCTTAAAAGTTCCCAAGGTAACGGGATCCTCACCCCCTTTTTCTCCAAATTCTCCGCATCTTCTTTATTTATGCCCAAATTGTCCATCTCCACCACCACATCCTTAATCACATCATCCTCATCATCCACGTCATCATCGTCACGATTCCTCGTTCCGTTACTAAACCTCGAATCCTCCCTAAAAAAGTGGTCATGTCCGTTACTGTTCCCATTCCCATTTTCGTTGTGATCCTGATCATCAGCGTCAAACTTCGTTCTGCAAGGACAATCTTGCCCAGCCCAAGCGGCCGCGAATTTGCAAAACTCGAGCTTAGACCAAGCCGGCATTTGAGAAACTTGCTTGTAATAGCAATCAAGCGCGGTTCCAACAATGA